GTTTGGACATAATTTTTTTCAGGAGTCCATTTATATCCAAAAATCTTAAAAAGTCTAGGAATTTAAAATATTCTAGAAATATCACTCAAAGTCCAAAACAAATACATCCCCCTTAGTAAGTCTTCCAAAATCAAGACAAATTCAAGAGTTTAAATTGAATACCTTAGGACCTTTTAAGACTTTAAAATTTCAAACGAATAACTCGTGACTTTTAAGAGCTTTAAAAAGGTTCGAGTTAAATATATCAAATTTCTTAAAATTTAAAAAAGTTTCAGAATCCTGAATTAATACAGCACCCTCAAAATTTCAAAGGATTCTTATCTAATAAAAAATCTCTCAAAGACTTGGATTTTAAAAGGTTATGTCATTCAAATCTCAAATGAATATACCTTTATGTACTCCATATTTTTATACTTTTTTCACTCTTCGTTGTCCCTCATATAAAAAGATTAAAACATCGCATATATAAAACAAACACATATTTTTAGTCTTGTTTCCTAGTCCTCTTTCCTTCACCAAGTTGTAGGAAATTTTTCGTGTATTCATTTACATAAAAACCACTACACATATTTATATGATTGATTGTTCTTCTGTTGTTTAGAAACAATAAAAATATATATAAAAAAAAACTAAATTAATTTACCAGATGGGGAATGGGAGAAATGTTAAAATCTAGGACTTCTTTTGGATTCCAAAAACCCTTTCCTTCAAACCAACTTGCATTTTTACTAGGGATAGGACCAAATTAATCTGGGTGAGGGAGTTAATGAAATTGGAAGGGAGATAGTGGGACACTGAGCTTATCAAGCAAACAATTGAACCTTTAAGCCCAAATCATCGTGAATATCCCTATAAACCACGTGGGTGTTAAAGATAAACTAATATAGCACTGGAACAAAAATGGAATGTTCGCTGTTAAATTTGCATAATAGGTTCTCATTGCAAATCAAGAGAAGAAACTGAACATAATTGAATCAAATTCTGCAAGACAAAAAACTCAGAGAATGTTACATGGAAGATGCCTATCAAAAACAAATTGGAAAACTTCTTGTGGAAAAGCTGGTTTGACTACCCAAAACAACAGCTGGAGAAAAGGGGAATGAAGACTGGAGTTATTTGTGAGACATGTGGAGAAAAAAGTGAAGACCAAGAACACATACTTTTCAAGTGTTCAAGAGCATTGAATTGTTGGGTATCTATCTATTAATATATAAAGAGGGAATGATCGAAAAAATGAATAATCTCCCGCCCATGCACTTCGAAAATTTTGGAACTCTTTTTTCTGATTTCAGTTTCCGATTTCAGCGCCTACATATTGGAACTCTTTTTTCTGATTTCAGTTTTCGATTTCAGCGCCTACATATTGTCGCCGTTCATTATGGGATTATGGGATGAGTTTATTCATTTATCATTTAAAGATTTTGTAAGATTTTTATGCCAAATATTTGTAGATATCTTAATAAAAAAACGACGCAAATAATCATACAATCCTACCTATATAAATACATTGGTTTATCACCTTCTCCAAAGGTGCATAGAAAAAATTACACATACAGATATTTCGAGATACACAGAAAAAAAAAAAAAAAAAAAAAAAAAAAAAAAAAAAAAAAGAAATGGCACGATTCTATGGTACACTCGGGGACGTCAATAGGGCCACCCAACCGTATTTGACATTAAGAGTAGTCAACATTCTTGAATCGAATGTCGAGCTGTAGTCCAAGAACAATACTCAAATCATGTTTCATGATGAAAATGTAAGCATTTCAATTGTTTCATGAAACATACATAATTATATAAATTAATTTAGTTAATTGTATAAATTTTTATTGTAGGGTTCACGCATAAATGGCATCATCCGTTCTCGAAGCATGGGATTATATCGAGATGTGTTCAAAGAAGGCAAAGTTTATGCAATCCACAACTACAATGTTGAATTCAATAATCAGAGGATCAATACAACCGGCCACAGATGGATGCTTGTGCTTCATCCAAAGACAAATGTATTCACCTACGATGGAAATTTTCCTCATCACTAATGAGGATTCCGAGATTATGAAGATTATTGCATGGATTTCTTAGGATTATGAAATTGTTATATTACAATTTTAATTCGAGTTGTTTAATGATTTTATTTTATG